TCCATTCCACTAGTACGCTGGAGGATATGAAACAAAAGCTACTAAAGTTAGACATTTTTCAATAAGCAGATCCAGGTAACTTGCATCCAAGAATCTTAAGAGCCAGCTGCGGAACACACTGGACCACTAATGTTGATTTTTCAATAAGTCTTGGAACAGTGGGAAAGTTCCAGGAGACTGGAAGAAAGCAAATGGTTTGCCAATTTTTAAAAAGGATAAATGGGATGACCTGGGAAATTATGGCCTGTCAGTCTAACATCAATCCCAAGCAAGAGATATGGGACTTGATTCATAAATACTTAAAAGAGGGTGTGTAATTAATGTAAATCAAAATAGCTATCACATGACATTTTGATTAAAAAACTAGAATGATATAAAATTAACATGGCACACATAAAATGGATGAAAACTGGCTGATAGGTTTCAGAATGTAATTGTAAACAGGGAATCGTCATAAAGCAGTTTTTTTTCGAGTGGGGTCCAGCAGAGATAGGTTCTTGGGCCTACGCTATTTACCATTTTATCAATGACCTGGAAGACAACATACTACCATAATTAATAAAGTTATCAGATGATACAAACATTGAAAGAGTGGTAAATAATGAAGAGAACATATCATTGATTCACAGTGATCTGGATTACTTAGTAAACTGGGCACAAGCAAACAATGTGCCTTTAAATACAGCTAAATATAAATGTACATATCTAAGAACAGAGAATGTAGGCCATATTTAGAAAATGGGGAGCTCTAACCTGGGAAGCAGTGACTCTGAAAAAGATTTGGGGATTGTGGTGGGTAATCAGCAGCACGTGAGCTCCCACTGTGACGTTCTGACCAAAAAAGCTAATGTGATCCTGGGATGTATAAGCAGGACATCTAGCGTAGGAGCAAAGATGTTATTTTACCTCTGTGTTTGGCAATGGTGTGACCATTGCCAGAAAACTGCGTCCAGTTCAGGTGCACACAAGTCAAGAAGGATATGGATAAATTGGAGCAGGCTCAGAGAAGAGCCATGAAAATGATTAAAGGGTTAGAAAACATGTCTTACAACAATAGACTTAAGTAGTTCAGTCTATTTAGCTTAACAAAGGGGTGACTTGATTACAATCTAAGTACCTACATGGGGAAAAACATTTAATAATGAGCTCTTCAATCCAGGCTGGAAGTCAAAGCCAACAAATTTAAACTGAAAAAAAGGCATGCATTTTTGACAGCGAGGGTAATTAACCATTGGAACAATTTACCAAAGGGGGTGGTGATGTTCCATCATGGACAATTTTTAAATCAAGACTGGATGATTTCTAAAAGATATGCTGTAGGAACTATTTTGGGGGAGTTATAAGGTCTATGCTGTAAAGGAGGTCAGACTGGATGATCACAATGGTCCTTTCTGCAATTGGAATCTATGAAATGATTAAACAATCAATTTGTAAGCACCTAATTGATAACTGGGATGTAGATAATAGTCAACATGGATTTGTCAACAACAAATCATGCCAAACCAACCTAATTTCCTTCTTTGAGAAGGTTACCAGTGTACTAGTTACGGGGAAAGTTGTAGATGTGATATATCTTGATATTAGGCTTATGACATGGGCCCATATTAGTCTCATAAGCAACCTAGGGAAATATGGTCTAAAAATTAAATTACTATAAAAAGGTGCAAAAGTGGTTGAAAGACTGTCCTCAGAGTAGTTATCAGTTCACTGTCAAACTGGGAAGACATATCTAGTGGGGACTCACAGGGGTCTGTTCAAGGTCCAGTATTATTCGATATTTTCATTCATGACTTGGCAACAGAGTGGAAAGCATTCTTATAAAATTAGTGGAGGACACCAAGCTGGGAGAGTTTGCAAGCACTCTGGAGGACAGTATTAGAATCCAAAATGACCTTGACGAATTAGAGAATTGATGGGAAATCAACAAGATGAAATTCAATAAAGACAAATGCAAAGTACTACACTTAGGAAAGTAAATTCAAATGCATAACTACAAAATGGGGGAAAACTGGTAGTACCACTGAAAAGGATCTGGGGGTTATAACGGATCACAAACTGAATATGAGTCACCTGCGTGATGCAGTTGTTAAAAGGCTAATACCATTTGCGGTTTATTAATAGGAGTGTCATATGTAAGACCTGTGAGGTAATTGTCCTGCTCTACAGGTCACTGGTGAGACTTTAGCTGGAATAAAAACCAGATTATGAGAAAATGTTAAAAAAAAACGGATATGTTTAGACCTGAGAAAGGAAGACTGGAGGGGAGGGGGAATTTCATAAGAGTCTTAAAACATGTTAAGGGCTGTTATAAAGAGGATAGTGATCAATTGTTTTCCATGCCTACTCAGGATGGGACAAGTAGTAATAGAATTAATCAGCAGGAAGGGAGATTTAGGTTAGAATTAGAAAAAACATTTATTCTAACTATAAGGATAGTTAAGTACTGGAATAGGTTCCAGTGGAGGTTGTGGTGGTTTTTAGGAACAGGTTGGACAAAGGGATGATCTAGGCATACTTGGTCCTGCCTCAGCCCAGGATGCTGGAGTAGATGATCTCTTGAGTTTCCTTCCAGCCCTATATTGTATGATTTCTATTTGGTTTGATGGGGTTACTCACATGTGTAAGTGTTTGCAAGATCAGGGCCTACATCCTTTAAGTAGACTAAATCATCTTAGTTATTTTGGGGTTTTTAACTATCATTTTAAAACAGCCAAACCTCTCTGGCACAAACAAGTTTTGTGGCAAGCTGCTAATACCTCTGTTTCTTGAATTGAGTTTCATGTTACAATGATGCTGTGACAATGTGACTAAGTCTATGGGAGACATCATAATTAAGACCAAGTGAAATAATATTGATGCAATCTCTGGTTAGGACATGACATTTTGAGCCAAAAGGAAATAACGGCAACACTGTAAAAATAAAAACAATATTTTTATGTCAAGACAATGGCAACATAATAACAATGCACAAGAAAGTCTATGAAGGTCATTTTACTTGTTCTGAATTGTGGCAGCACCCATAGATTGTTCTCATTACATTTAGGCCCTGAAATCATATAGTATGGTCCTACATCTAACTAGTGTTCCTCAACACTGAGTCATGTTTTATGCCTAAGGGGAAAATATTTACTTTGCTAATAAGAGCCAAGAACTGGGGGAAGGAGAAGTATTTCATGTAACCCTTATTGTAATACTTCTATCTGGCTAAAAAGAACACAGCCCTGTATTAGAAGCACTCAGACAGAGAAACATATATATGCAACAAAAAGTTGAATCATAATTGCTGTGGTAATTTTCCCTATCATACTGTTGCTTTTGTGATTTTTATGTTGTAACTTGAATACTTTATAAACTTGTTTTCCTCTATAGTGCTAAAGAAAAAAAGAAAGAGGATATAAACAAGTCTTACAGGTTTAGAAACCTCTTGCTTCTTTAGTGAGTGAATCAAATGTTTGGATCATGCCATAAAGACCTAGAATCTCAACTATTAACATGACAATCAACTGTGTGCAGGACCTGCCACTACAATGTCTGGGTATACTATCCACAGCTTAGTAGTGAGAAATAAAAGCCCTGCGGTACAAGATAAATATCATAGGGTACCAGGTGAAGCAAAGAGTGAGAATTGAGGTTCACAAATCTGCCTTCCTTCTGAGAAGAGAAAAGATGGATGATATTGAAGACGAGTCAGGAGTTCTGATGCTAAGTTCAAGTGACACAAAAACTAAAAGAACCGTGTCAAAACTATACTCCTGTCTTGAATCATTTTCTCAAATGCTGAAGAGAAAGCAAACAGGAATGAGTTTCTCCAAAAGAAATGTATCATTTGAAATGAAAGGCTTGGGTATGCTTTGAAGGGGAAAAAAAGAGAAAAGATAATTTACTAATAAAGTAAAGATACTACCATGGAAAGAAAAAACAATCCACAAAGATCAACCATCTGCTTAAGAAGACAGCAACCAAGAAGCCTTAAGCAAAAATATTTAGAACTTCTTTAGAAATCAAGAAGTTACTGATGTATTGAACAAAACTCAATGAAACAAACACCAATACTCATAGGTTCTATAGAAAATCCAGCAACCTATCAAACACGTAAACATTATTTCAAATGTGGGAAATTCAGGAAACATTAACTAAATATAGGAAAGGCGGCAGATATTGTTGTTAAGGCACTCAGGAGATCTGGGCTCTATTCCTGGCTCTATCACACACTTCCTGTCTGAACTTGGACAAGTTACTCTACATGTCTAGGCTGCAGTTCCCTATCTGTAAAATGGGCATAATCATTCTTTCTCCCATTCTTTTCTGAATTGTCTGTTTAAATTATATGCTCTTTTGGGCAGGGACTATCTCTTGCTATGTGTATGTATAGCCCAATGAAGCCTCTGTTTCAGTTGCATCACTAAGGACTATGGTAATAGAAATAAATGAATAATAAATCATTTGTACTCCTAAGTCTTAAAGCCCCAGCCTTTTTGAATAGTAAATTACTTCTGAAAATACTCTGACAATCCTAATAATTCGTGGCCACCAAATATGTATAACTGGAGCCACTTTCTCTTCAATGACTATGAGAAGTGGCCATAGAGACCAAAAGCACAACTTTCAACTCTAACTTGCCAAGAATACAAAGTCTGCCATATGATCAGCACACTGCAGTTTGGCTCAATTCTTTAACAGCAGTATTTGTTGACAAAAATTTTCCTCCCCAAAGATATTGGGATACCAAAAAGAAGACTAAGTTCTTTGGGGCAGAAACTGGAGGGGGTCCTGATGGTGACAGTTTAAGGTCACAAAACAGGAAAACACTTAACCACATGCTTAAGTTCATCTTTGTTCCGGCTTAAGTGCCTTCCTGAATTGGGGCATACATCATTATTAGTGTATTCATTCACACAATTTATTAATGTTTTCATGAGTTACTTAGATTGACAAAGCTAGGCATTATTATGGCTAAGTATCTCAGAATTAAACATTATATAATATATTAGCTATCTTACCAGCAGTAATCCAAAAGGTGTGGAGGAAGCACTGGGATGTATATGTGTTGCCAATACATTGGATATAACAATGCCGCTGACCCATGAACACAAGCAGTTAACTGAAAATAAAAATATATACACAGAATTGACAACAAAAATTTTTTAACACGAAGAAAGTACAAAATTTAAAATGAAATGTTTATATCCTTAAAGTCTCAATTGCATGAAAAAAATAAATGTTGAAATGTAGCATTGTTAATATTATTTTTAATTGTTAAGATGTCAGAGTTTAGGGCTAGAACTGACCACCAGATCATCTAGTCTGGCCTCCTGTATATCACAGGCCATCAACACCAGCCAGTACCCACACACTAAACCCAACAACCAAAGTAAAGTATTACAGACCATCATAATCTCCGGACACAGACTCATAGACTTTAAGGCAAGAAGGACCATCATGATCACCTAGTCTGATCCCCTGCACATTGCACACTACAGAACCTCACCCACCCACTTCTACAGTAGGCCTTTAACCTCTGGCTGGGCTACTGACATCCTCAAATCTGGATTTAAAGACTTCAAGTGTACAAACATTTATAAAATGATGAACTGACACAATTTGAAAAGGATGCCCCTCATAGTTATCCTTCCTCAGCCATACTCCCTCAAAAGAAAAAAAAAAAAAAAGAAAAGAAAAAGCCTGAGCAAACAGATGTACTTGCATCATGCCTGCAAAGTCAACAAACTCAGATACATCGGAGTAACATCAGAAATGAATCCTACAATTTATTTATTTTAATTTTTTTTAAAATCCCCATTAACAGGCCATACAAAGGATAGCCACCCAATAGCGTAACAAGCCTATCACACGCCCCAAAACTGAAATAGTTTCCCAGCCAATAATTTAAAGAGCCAAATACCCAAACCTTCAGCTTTCCACAAAAATCTTAGCAAACAAATAGTCTTTGTCTTTGGGGAAATGATGCAATTTCCTGCAAATCACCCTTGGTAATCTTGGATAAAAGACCTGAGCCACAAAAGAGAAGCTCCCTCTACTCCTGTAACTCAACACCACGTCATAATCAACAGAAAGGTAGAAGACAGATCGGGTATCATCATCGTGGACATTTGGGACTCAAGTGAACTTGCACAACAGTCAATTCATCTGAGAAGGAGCATAAGTAACTTTCAGGCGGTATTCCTAAGGGCTGAACTAAATTCTCCTTAGTCTTTCTCTGTCTTCATCTCTAAACACCTTTTGAAAAAAAGAGTCCAGTAAATCAGGATACTCCAAATGATATGAGACCAGCTTTGTCACCTTTTCAAATAACCCCTCCCAAAAAACTCGTGGTGAGAGACAGGACAGAAGTTGACAAGAAATGGTTCCCTGACCAGTAAGTGAACAACTTCTTGTATGAGGCAAGCTAGCACCTTGGTATCCTGTAATGAGAGGTTAGTCTCTACTAATATTGGTCCCAGCAGCCCAGTTTGTTTTACCATTCATGAGGTGCTATCTTGCGGGCTGTATGCCACAGATCCTTACCTGGAGGACATACCTCTACACACTATTGTGAATAAAATCATTTGAAACAACCAATAATTACTTTGCATTTGCTCTCCCATACAGGGCCCTCCTACCATGAAGACAGATAAACTGGACTGAATCTGGTTGATTTTATTCATAAAATAGGTGAGAAATTGCACAAAATGAGAAAATATCAACACTGTTTCCAAACAGAGGTAGCCCAGATCCAGCACATGAGGCACCACCAAGAACACAATCCTACTGATCTAAAGTTCTCAGATGGAGTAAAAGAAGAGGGGGGGGGAGACATCTTTCCTATGCAGAGGATTTCAGAAACCCAGACATAATAGGACTCAAAATCTTATCTCTTTAGTTCCACTACTGGTGCTACAATTGCCTTCCCTGGTACTTGATTTGCCACAGATAATCCAATGGAGATCTATGATAATAGCATAGACAGAAGGAGGTTTAGAAGCCACCTTGTTTATGGAAGAAAAAAGATGGTTATAATGTTTTATTAGGTCATCGATAAAGTGACTATCCAATATTGACTTAATTAGTACTGGTCTTTATTAAGCATGCATTTCTACTGTAGCAAATGTAAGAGCTAAAAAAATGTGGATCCTGCTAGTACAGTGCTGAAATGTTATGGATTTTATAGGGGAAATCTCTTCATGGAACAAAGCAGCAATTAAAGCTTTAGCATCCTGGGTATCTTGGACAGTTATACTTGTTTATAAAAATTATAGAACAATTTTGCATATACATTTTTATAATAAAAATGGAAAAAATAATTATAAGAGCATCTTGGCAGAAATCATAGACAATTACAATTTGTGCAGCACAGTTTGCTCATCACTCAGATTAATATAATACGATTAAGTATGGAAAAAAAGAGGGTCTGAAAGCTCCTGAGGGATATCATTAGGGCAAATTGCCAAAGAATGAAACATGAGCCAGTCAGGAGAGTCTGGAAACTGCAATAATACCAAGGGACTTGAATGTTCGACAGTTGGAGCTTCAGTAATGTGTGAACCGCAGGTTACGGTATCAAGAGACTCTGTTCACTGACACATAGAATGTCACTATTGACCAACGAACTGCCCAAGCTTGACAGCTATACTACAGGAAGCCAAGTATATCATAATTCCATATTTAAACTGTTCATTTCAGATTAACATTTTGTTTCTTAGCTTTATGTTAAACAACTACAATTGTACTGTTTTTGGCATTAAGGTAATGTCCAATTTAATAATTATTGCTTTGTTACAAAGAGTTAATTATTCATTTATCTTTTGGCAAATGAACATCCTTTCTCTCTTGCACTCATTATTATTTGTTGGATTTACCTAGGATTGTTTTCCTTTACACTTTAAGTAATATTCTTGAAGCTGTACAACCAATTCAGTACTATTTTTAAGTATTTTATACAAAACAGATGTGGATTCACAAATTAAAATATATTATATTATATTTTGTACTTCAAGCCAAACTATCCATTAAGAATTATTGTTGCAGACATTTCAATCACAGACTGAAATAAAGTGAAGTGCTCATTAGAAGATTCCCAAAATTTAGATAAAGATCTCTTTATCTAGTTAATGAAGTTGTGTTATTCAAGATTCTAAAATTGTATATCTTATGTTTACACATACACAAAAAATAGATACATGCACACAAGCATTTCTATTTCTAGTTATGCAAAAAATTGAAAAATGTGCATTATGTTTTGGTTCGCGCTCATTACCAAAACAATCTAGGAAATGAATAATTACATTGCACAAGATATTTAAAGTTTTATAATTGGTCTTTACTACTTTGTGATCCATGTTTTGGGCTGACATTCAGAAGATAAAAATGTTAAAATGTTAAATTAATGCATAACATGACAATTTTAATCTTTTCTAGCAGTGAAAGTATGGACTTAACTGGTTTATTCATTTAACAAAGTTCATTATATTTCTCCTTACATTTTGTACTTAATACACCAAAAGTGTACTGCTTTAACATTTCTATCTGTTCTTTAAACAAGACTAAGTGGATTTATAAACATACCATTGGGAGGTATATAAAAATTTAGTGTGCATTCTAACTTCTAATGAAATTTGGTAATTTAAGCAAATATGGAACAAAGATGCTTATCAGCTGAATGACTCTGAATACTGTGTCAACTCTACATTACAACATTTGTAAAGTGATAACTGTGGCCTTTGTGTATGAAAGGATTTTGCACTTTTATCTTGGTACTTTATTTTGCTTTTGGTTTACCTTGTGATTTTACTTTTTTTAAAAAGTTACAAACCGTAATGTTATATCCCAAATTCATCATCCATCTAAATAACTGCATTTCAATATTCGTAGTATTCCTCCCACTAGGTACAGGAAAATATAGGGAATTCTGTAGATATTGGGATAAAACTATCTTTACCTTTAAATAACCAGATATTTAAGGAAAAATTGAAAAATATTTAAGGGACATTCTATACTTGACCATTTGACCTCTTATGAGCTCAGCAGTTTATAAGTCCACCATTGCATTCTGTGGGATACAGGAGAAACCGCTGAAAGTCTTAGAGGGGAGTGGACGACCTGACTCTAGGTTCCGGTGGTGACTGCTAAGGGAGCAATTAATTGGGTATCGAAGAGTTGTTGTTCACAGGACTGCAAAGAATGGTAATATATGACCACCAGAGTGCAGTATTTAGCACGCTGTGGGGAACCGAGTAATGAAGACATGGGGCAGAAAGCAGAGTCTGAGTCCCATGGTGCTGATGCAGAGAAAAGTGGTATAGGAAACAATGATTGTGGTTGAAACAAGTTGTGAACAGTGCGGTTTATGTGAGTCCCTGGCAGAATGCAGGACTGTTTTTGCTATCTGAGGAGAAGAGTACATTTAACTGGAGACTGCATCCAGACTGAATTCCATTTCAACCGGGATGATTAAGAATTACGAAAGAGAGTGTGGTTTAGATATTTTTCAGGGCAGAAAGCATCTTTAGTAAATTGTCTTGGAGTTGTCTTCAAGGTTGTGGCCAGTCCTACCCATCCTGTCAGTTGCTACTGGAGATTACATCAACTGCAAAATCTGATCAATTTCTGCATAATTATTTCTAAAGATATGAAAATGATGCATGCAGAACTTCCCTATTAAACATGTTGAAACAATCCAACACGTTTAATAGGGATTACTTAGTTTCAGAGTCAGAACAGTCCAATGCAATATGTTGAAACTGGTATTCCATTCCCCTGCAAAAACTTGTGGCTTACATTCTTGTCTGGCAAAATTCCTTTTGTAACATGAGATGTTTTGATTGGCACATAATTCTATGGTTTTAAAGAAGATGGAGAAAGTCTGTTGCATGAACTTTGCTAGACCTGACTGTTTGGTATTTCTATACCAGTATTTGATTTTCTAGGTCTTGAAAGTGGTGGCAAAACAGCTATAAAAGCATCTAGACAGAAATGTTTGATAACTTTTTGTCTGTTTTCAGGCAGGGAGCTGAAATATGGTGCTGAGATAGCCTTTGTCAGTCACAAATAACATGAAAGAAAAGGCCTGCCTTTGTTGGTATTATTATGACTGTCAGAATCATT